TTGATTAATCTCAGACCAAGAGGAAAATCAAGGTAAGACAGGAAGTTTCCATCTGTACTGTGGGTAGAGGAAGTTGGGGCTTCCAGGGCCCACAAAAGGCCACACATGACCCCTTCCCCTGGGATCCCTTTAAGTTCCCTGTGACAGTTTTGGGTCTGGCTTCAAGTCCATAAGAAATCTGTCGCCATCCTTGTCCTTGTGAAGCTACCAACCTTTACTGTCAGGATCTGAGTTAGAGTCCCACCCCCAAGACAATCCTGGAGCCTGAGGACAAATTTGAGCCCCAAACTTAAGATGTAGCTCAACCTTTGACCACTAGATGTCTCCTGGAAAGCAATGACCCATATAACCTGGTTTATCCTCCTTCAAACCAATAGACTTTTTGCTCTAAGACTTGAGGAGCCTGCTCTGCTGGAGGCCACCTTATTAATATCGCCACCCACCCCACTGCTTACGATGGCGCCAGGCTTAGAGGGGGATGGGACCAGGTGGCTGACCCTCAGACAGTGCTCGCTGTTTAATCCACGCAACAATCTGCACAATCTAGGGCTATCCCCTCGAACCCCACTTCTTGACCAAGGAAGAGGGGAAAGCGACCCAGAGACCCAAGGTTCCCAGGTATGCAGCCTGGAGACCCTCAGATTTGAACCAGCGACGAACCTCCTAAGGGACCAGTGTTCAGAATCACCTAGCATAAGGTCCCCCAACAGTCCATGTCTCCCATTTCTTCCCACTCATTCCCGCTGCCCCCACCCTGCCCTCCCTTTTTTTTGCCTAGGGATCATCAAAAGTGGCTCGTTGGAGGGACATTAGGGAACCATTCAACGTCCCTGTTTTGATCCGCGTGGTATTTTCTGGAAAAATTAGCGGCTTCTAGCTGGAAGAGGAAAGAAAAAAAGGGGGGAGGGTACGGGGAGGGGGAGCAAGAAAGGAAAGAGCCAGGTTGAATTCCCAGTCTTTATCAAGCAATTCGCTCACCAATGAAAGAAAGCTGCAGTGGCAGATTCGAGCCACATGCGGTAGTGTGTAGCAATTAGTAGATAAAATGCTGACTAAAGTGCTAAAACATGAAGTATTATTGTAGCCAAGGTCAAAAATGCTTCAGTTGTCTTTTGCAATTTCGGGGAGGGGAGGCCCAGGGGTTCGCAGAGAAATTTGCATTTTCGAAATGGTCGCCTTCTTTCTTCAAACTGTACTTTTTTTTTTTTTTTTTTTTTTTAATGATCCTGTTTATTATAGTCCAAGCTGCCTAATTATGTCACTGCTGGTTTTTGGAACTAACTTAATCCTCCTGATCTTTTATGAAACGATTCACAGACACTGAATAATGTGTCCCTGCTCCCTCACCCCCATGAGGGCTGAGAATGATTTTTAATTTTTTATCTTTTAAATATATCAGATAACTTAAAACAGAGTTGAATTTCTGGCTAATAAGACAGTAGGAATATAGATGTGTGGGTATAGATAGGCTCCTGTGTTTCAGTACAAGAAAGATCCCAGAAATAGTGAGTCATATAAAATATATACTGTTCCCCCCACCTCCTCTTTTATATACAGCAAGTCCCAGCTACAAGCTTTTTTAATAGATAAATAAAGCAGTTGCTTTCATGATTATAACTGTCCTGAATGGATTGTCTTCTTACAACATTCAATCTGTTTATGAGTATTTACTTTACATTAGCCCAGGGACCCTGCACTGCAGGAGTTTGCCTCTATTCCCCTGGGTGTCGGTGTCTCAAGTCTTACATCTGCTCTGTGATTGATGGAGCCTTGAATCCACGTTATTACTCTCTCACAAGCAGAAATCAAACAGGCTATTAACTACATTACTTCAAAGAACTGTTTCAATACAATCTCCTTATCTTAATTGAAACTTTCTTTGTATGGATATTTGCTACACAGATAATTTACAGGTGCCTATCAAGCATCGCATTAAAGAAGAGGTAAAATAGAGGAGGCTTTTATTTTTTTTTTTTGGGGGGGGGTTACCACTATTGTGATCTGTAATTTTAAAAACCATTCACAGTATTGGGACCAGGTTTGATTTATTAGATTTTTTTTTTTTATGTTCATGGTAGTACTCGTGGTGCTGTAAAAAAAAAAAAAAAAAAAAAAAAAAAAAAAAAAAAAAAAAAAAAAAAACAGGGAAAAGATAACCCTGTGATTCAGTTTTGAAATTTAGCATTCTTCTGATTACAAGAATGCAGATATTCAAAAACATTCAGACCCAGGTCCCTGCAATTGTTAACATCTTAGAAACCTTATCAGAGAGATTAGGCAGCATGCAGCTAGTTCACTGCCTACCTTGAAGAGATATGGAAACAGGGTTTCTAATTAGACTAAGTTGGTTACAGACACTTAAAGACTTACAGCACTAGTGACAGCAGAAGTTGCTCAGATGCTGTAAAAAGCTGTGTATTTTTTAAGAGATCTAATATACAATCGAGGGATACCCTCAGGCATTCTGTTGAGGTTTCCTGCATAAATGCTGCTGCATTGGTCATACAGGAAACTGACTCAGAGTCGATCTCAAATAAGATCTTGTCAAAATACTGCAACTCAAGTTTTTTAATATAGGATTTCTTGAACTGGATGTATATATTTATGCTAACAGGACAGAGATTAACAGAAGCCTGAGGCATATGTCATGTATTTTTTAAAAAAAAAAGTAAAATGCCTTTCAGTCATGTCCATTCATAGGTTAAAAATGAACAAAATGGGTTATTCTAATCAAATGTCTGCAATATGCATCATAAAGTTAAAGAGGGAGAGAGAGAGGGCTAGAGAGCTGTAATTTCTCTTTGTAACCCATGTTTATAAAATAGGAAGATCAGATGGAATTTAAAGGGAGATAATTAAAGAGTGATGTGCAAGTCATAATTTGGCTAATGCAAAAGATGGGAGACTGAATTGTTACATTGTCGTCCTCCATGGTGCAGAGTTGTGATATTACTTTAAATTATTAAAATAGTTTTCAACAGCTTTCAGAATACTGGCTCTTTGGCATGGGCTTTTATTACTTATTGTAATTGGAGGATCTGCCATTTTCTTTCGTTTATCTCTGTGTGTATAGAAACGAGATAGATCTTGCCTTTTATTACTTCCCCATGTTCTGAATCAAAAATGTGGTTTAGATAATGTTAAGTGCCCTAATTCTTACTGCAGAGGACGCAGACATTATGAAAAGGCATAAAATACACACAGAGGGTCTTTCCACCTCAAGTCACTGAATATGAGGCATTTGTGCTCTACTGGGTATATTAACTTCAGCCATGTGAATATAATTTTCATTAAAGTAATCCTGTTTCAACTAGATGCTGTGACTAGAGGTGAAACGTTGCGAAAGCGTTAAAAATAGCTTACTAGTAATTTCAACATCCTGTAATTTTATCACAGATCAAGTTTCAACTGTCATACTATACAGACCTTATTCCCCATATAGTACATGTTTACTTTTTTAGCATGCCAGACCCACTTTGGGAAGATTGGTGCCAATATAATAAAATCGCGGAGGGGGGGTGGTGCTGGAAGAGTGGGAGGAGAGCGGAGAAGGGGTGGGGAACGTGGGGGAACGTGGGGGAAGCGAGTACACCATTTTACATCAACACTGCGAAAATGCAATCTAGCCTGGCGGAGGACCGGCAGCTGGGTCGGAGCGAGCGAGGGCTTTGCAGTCTCTGCCTGTTCCTTGTTCTGTCGCTCTTAAGTTTCTCTGTGTTTGCATAATAGCCGTGCATGCAAACCTCGCAATGCTCCAGGGCTTCAGAACAATAAATATACACATTTAAAGCCTTTATTGTCTTACGGTTCGTGCCCCCGGTTTTCAACAGCTTAATTTCTGGTTGTATTTAACTAGTTTGCAAATGGATTTTTTCAGTTTCAAACTATTATTGAGGAAGCTCCCCTCCCTTTTTTGGCGGGGGAGGGGATGGGGGTGGGGTAGGAGTCGGTATATTATTCCTGTAGCGCTGGGTTATATAAACACATTATCATTTGAGAGCGCCCTTGGCGTCCATCAGCATTGTAAACACGTACTAGTGTATATACTTCAAAATTAAAGAATGCACACGCAGAACCGGGAGCCTGAATTCATATTCCGAGCAGACTCACTGCTTGCATTTATTGATTTATCATGCATCGTTTATTGTTCCAGTCCCTAAATGCAGTTGCTGTCCGTTAAATATTGTTTGCAAAATCCCGAGATATGTGTGCACTGCTCACTTGTCTTTCTGTTCTTCTTCTGGTTTTTTTTTTTTTTTTTGGCTGAGTATTTTTTTTTTGCGAAGCGAACAAATGCATTAATATTTATATGTTTATATAATCGATAACCCACTTTTCCCTTCCATGTAAATAGGCATCAAAAGATAATTTAACAGATTAGTTCTCGAAAACATGGCAGTGAGGAAGCGTAATTTAACTATCAAACAAATCTACATGTCTAATAACAGCAAATCTGCTAAGGAGCATTAGAAAGAGGAGCAGCGCCCCGGAATCTCTGCAGGAAATGTTCTTTATATTAGACATATACAAGCAGGTCCTGTTAGATACACAGCAGAGCTCTCGAGCCCTGACCTCCTCCAAAAATTTCATCAGACGATACACTTAGACAGTTACGGTTAGAAAGAGAAAGATCTCGTCTTCACACAGTTTAAGAGTGGATTTTATTTTTACAAATCTTCCCATCTGGTTTTTTGCCTTGATCACTTCGCTTCCCGCCGAGATCGGACAGAGCCTTTCTCCCGATTATGAATTTGATCAACCCATATTTGGAAGGAAACCCACATAGTTTTGACAGGAGCTGAAAATTGAGTCGTCAGAGAAATATTAGGACATATTTTAAATTATTTTGGTGCTCAAGGGGAGGCAAGAGCTCAATTTTATATTGAGACATTACGCCGGCTGAAGGCAGAGAATGTTTTTCCCTGCCAGGACCTGATGCAATCCATTCACGCCAACAAGTTTGGAGAGAATGTTGAGTTCAATCAATTCAGAACGTCGAGATGGAGCCCAACTCACTCCAGGTATTTCGCTCTCCTCCGCTCCTCCGATCCCGGTACCCCCCGGCACCCCCCAGCCCTCCAGCTCACCCACACCTCTGCACCCACCCACACCCCCCACAAACTTTTCACCAAACTTTTACCCTCTGCATCCCCCCAAATCATTTTTATTGTTTTAAAAAAAAATCCCTGCACTGATCATACATACATAATGTGATTTTACCGCCTCAGATGGGGAGGTGGGAAGGGGTAGCGGGCGGGAGGGGGGTGGCGGAGGGTTTTTTTTTCTTTTTTTTAAGGGAGGCAGAAAATTTGTGGGCTCTATGATTTTTTTTCCACCCAGCGTTATATCTGTGGGCTCGTCTGTATTAAGAGTGGGGATGTCTGTGTGTAAATGTGTCTGGGAATAGATGTTTGTGTTCTGATGGCTACATTATTTATTTGGTGCTTTTTTCCCCCCTGCAGTGGGTCGGCTCACCGTGTGGTTTGCACGGACCTTACATTTTCTACAAGGCTTTTCAATTCCACCTTGAAGGCAAACCAAGAATTTTGTCCCTTGGCGACTTTTTCTTTGTAAGATGTACGCCAAAGGATCCGATTTGCATAGCGGAGCTCCAGCTGTTGTGGGAAGAAAGGACCAGCCGGCAACTTTTATCCAGCTCTAAACTTTATTTCCTCCCCGAAGACACACCCCAGGGCAGAAATAGCGACCATGGCGAGGTGGTAAACCTATCTCTCCCTCTCTTCTTTCTTTATTATTTTTTCCCCTAGTAATGCTTATTACAGGGCAAGCTTGAAAATACTGTATTCACTTCTGCAGGCGAGCAGGATCCACTCCTTTTTTAAAGGGGTAGCGCCACTAGCTGGGGCTCGAGTATTTTGCCATTGTCAGAGTTTGGCTGTCAGCTTTACAAAGAGGATCCAACTGCTGATTTTAGTCAAGATCAAATAACTTGTTCGAGAAGGGTTTTGTTCAAGGATGTGTGTGTGTGTGTGTGTGTGAGAGAGAGAGAGAGAGAGAGAGAGAGAGAGAGAGAGAGAGAGAGAGAGAGAGATCGCTCTTCTGCTAACTGCCGCTTGAACATCACATGTTTTTTATATTTTTTGCCTTTTGAAAATTTACCTTCGTGTCTAGCTTGGTCGGGGCTGGGTGGATTTCTTTCGGTGGGTTTCGATATTGTTCACGTTTTTTTTTTTTTAAGTAAGTATTTGATATGTTTAAGAGGGCGGAAATTACGAAATGGAGGCAGAATGAGATCAAAAGCTATTGAGTTGGCAAAGACGTGTTGAATAAAGTGATAAATGACAGGTACTGGAATAATACATTCAAATAACTTGCAGATCTGCCCGGGCGGATTTCAAAGCGGTCGTGTAACCGGCACAAACACGTTAAGCATTAACAACTATCTCTCGCCCACTCCCCCCGCCGCCCCCCCCCCCCCGACAAGCCATTTGATGTTCTAGTTTTCAATTACTCCACGCAAAGTGGACGTCTTCCAGCGCGATCTTTGGGGGTGTGTGGAACCGGGCGGGGGACAGGAGGGAGGGCAGAGGGGTGTGAACTCGCCCACTGGCCCTGCGGGTCCAGCGCCCTCCGTGCCCAGACAGCGCTCCCAGGGAGGGACCCAGCCTTCCCGGCACGTTTCTGGGCGGCCGCGGGGGCGCTCGCCGCGCTCCCGGGAGGACGCCGGAGGTGAGCCCGCAGTCACCGGGCGCCGGGGCGGCCGCCTCCCTTCGGCTCTGTCATTTATGTGTGACCGCAGTTCTGCGGACTCCCCTAGTCAGCTGGCCGACCTTAGCGCCATGGTACCTAYCGGGGAACTATTTTGGGGAGTCTGTGCCCACGGCGCGGCGGGGAGGGAGGGCGCCCGGCCACTTGGCAAGGCTTTGTGTTGCCAAAGCGAGAGGAGGGCACTCAAACTGAGACTTTTGAGGGCAGCTAGCTCTGTGCCAGGCTGTGGAGCTTTCGAGGTAGGTCTAAGGATCTTTTTGTTAAATGAATGATGCCCCCTTTAACTCATCCCGGGTCTCCAAGATGCCAATCCTTCYAGAATTCCTTGATCTGATAGAGTTGATTGTACTTTTGGCATCGCCAGCTCACTCCCTCTCCTCAGGATCGAATTACCCAACAGTGGTCTATGTCGGTTAATTACTTGAGTTAGTCAAAACGTTTGCACTCAAATCTGCTTTTCCGAAGTAAGCCCCTCCCTCCTCCCCCGCATACACTCCTCCCCCGCCCTCCCCCCGCAGCTTTGGGTTTTAACGTTCATATTTCCCTACGTCCGCCTGCAATTTTACAAAGGTGTTGTTTGGAAATACTGTGAAAAATCCTGCAACCTACCAACAGGTTGAGCTCTTTCCCCCTCCCAAGGTCTCGCTCGGCCCCTCCCCCGACCCAACTTTGCTGCGCAGCTGTCTTCCTCCCCCTCCCCCTCCTGATTTCTTATTATTTGCTTTTCAAATTTATTACTTCAACATGGCCTGTGATCTGGAAAAGGGAAGGATTAAATATCCAGAAAAGAGCTGGTGCCTAATAGACTTCTGACTAAACCCAGGAGGAAATTATTCAGTGTTTTATGGGATATTTTGTGGCCACTCATTTTTTTTTCTTTTTTTTTGGGGGGGAGGCATGAAATTAGAATATTTTTAAAGACCCCAAATTGACCCCACTTGGTACATTTTAAATTTCTGTTGGTATAATTAGATACGAATTCTGATTTAAGAATAAAACCAACATTTGCCAAAGTGCATCTGCTGGAACTCTTGTCGGTGAATAGATATATTTTTAAATACACGATTTCTTTTTAATTGTTCATTATGGGGAATTGAAAGCGAACCATTGTAATGATCTGGGCATTTCGTCTCTGTTATATGAGCCATACCTGAGAAAATTAATCTTACCATTTAAAAGTAAACTCTAGGGGGTTTGTGGAGGGAGATGGCTCTATTTATAATTCTCAGCTGCATATACATCCTCTAATATTATGCATGATTTGTTTTTTTAATGCTAACACGGCTGGTAATTAGCTGTATGATTATACTTGTATATTTCATTAGGACTTTGGCTGATGTCATTGTGAATTATTCAGCCATATTAAAACAATTTTCAATTGAGATAATGACACGCCTCAAAATTATGCAAATGCCGACTGCATTGTGCAAAATAATTATGACAAATGTAAAGCAGGTAGAAAGTTTCCCAATGCAGATTGGTTTTCCACCCTGGTGATGTCATTTCCCCCCTGGCCTAAGTTAGTCATTCATTAGGAGAATAGCAGCAGCAGTCTCCTCTGGAGGAGAGTCAAAGAAACCAGCATTTACTGCTGGCACCTAGAGGGGGCAACAGGGCCCTCTCATTAAGAAATTTGCTTTGTTTTCACTTACTCCATTTACTTGTTTATATACATTGAAGTGATTTTTATTATTGATTTTAAATAGTTTTGAATGATGCATTTGCCATTTGCAGCCTGCAACTAAAAGAAAAAGGTTTCTTGGTGATAGGCACTCTTACTTGGAGAAAATGTTCAGCACATTTAATCAGCTAGTACAGTTTATTTTAAGTAACCAAATGGAGGTTAATAATTTCTTGATTGAGCTGACATCAGCATCCATCTCAAAAGGACGTCCAGAACTCAGCATGCTTTTTTGGTTTAAGAGAATCATTCTGCCTTTATGTGATTTCTTGAAATGTAAAGACGTCAGTTCTAAAAGCAGGAAAATGATCATTGTGCAAGTTTAGAAATAGCGTCCCTGTGTGATTTGCTATGATTTGCAGAGGGCTTTTTTTGGAATATTTTCTCATTGATCCTTGCAATCATTGTGTGAGGCTGAGGAAGACAGGACTTTGTATACCCATTTTATAGATGGGGGTTTAAACTTAGAAAGATTATGTGGTTTGTCAAAGGTTGCTAGTCTGGAACCCAACTTTATGGTTGCTTTACCCCAATGAAACCTATGTGTTCAGTCCCTCATACCTTTTAGAACTATGATAACTCAATTAACTTTGCCAGAGGTCGCCAGATATTTAGGTAGTAAAACCATTCTTATTCTATAATGTTTAGCTAATTCTAGCCAGCGTTTTATAACAGGAACAGTTATATTTTAATTATTATTATAAGCATTAATAATTGGTTATTTATTTAATAATGATAGTGATGATCTGCATGCTTATATACACTGCTGCCTTGATACATTTCCATTGCTGGCAACTGGTGTGTGGGGGGGGAAGTGTTCCAAAAAGAAACACTTTGATTCTGTAACTTACTATTTGTTTGACCTTGAATAATCATAAGTACTTTGAGCCTTTATTTTCCAGCTACAAAATGGGAACATATAGTAAGGATGACTGTGGATTATTGTGAGGACCAAGAGGTATTCTATGGGTAGAAATGCTTTATATATTGAAAAGTGCTTACATAAATAGAAAGGAGTTCTAATTATAGTGGCCTTTGTTCTAGATATTCTTGCCTTTAAAAACAATAGCAAAGCATAATAACTTGAGTCTGTTGAGGTCCTTGGACCTAATCATGATACTGTCTTAAATTACCATGAAAGTGAATAGCAGGGCCATGTGCAAGGAGTTAAGTGTCTTTAGTAATTACCCACAATTGCCACATTCAGCCAGTAGCTCTTCAGAGCAGGAAAATGGCAAAGTAGGCGGGTAATTGGTTCTGTTACTGGGTAACTTCTGATTACATTCATTTTCAAATTGCCAAGTGCTTAATCTATTGGCAATGTACCCTCTTAAAATAGGTGATGTGCAGGCTTGGATTTGAGCCTGACCATCCATGGCATGAGTTTTGCATGCAGGTCTGCTAATCACTTGCAACAGTGAATATGGATGCCTGAAGTCTTGATGTCAGACAGTTAAGATCAAGCAGACCTGGGTGTTTTGGATTCCTACATGCATTCAGGATTTGTAACACTATTTAGCTGTCATAAGACTCATCATCCAGTTTAAAAAATGTCAAAAGTACATATTCTGGGGCCCCTATTGCAATTAATTCAATTAAAATCTTTGAAGTTAGGTTCAAATTCAAACTTTTAAACATCTTAAACAGCTCCTCTTAGCTGTATTATCTTGGGCAAGCTCTGAACTCTCTGTGCCTTAGTTTTTCCATCTGTAAAATGGAAATATAGTACTTATTTCTTAGGAATCTTTAAAGGATTAAATGAGTTTATACATGTAAAGTGTGTACAATTAAAGTTGACCCATGGTAGATACTTTGATAATGACTGATTGCTATCATTACCATTAATATTAGTATTTTTGTTCTCATGGAAGTTTGAGATCACTAAAGTGGATCTTATTGAAAAAATCTTTTCTGTATGAGGGGTTGGTACCTGGGCTAGTTTGCTAGAACATGTAGCCATCCATGTTTGCTAGAACATGTCCCTTCAGCTCAGGCTTTCATCTGTTTATTGCATTTAGTTGTGTCCTCAAAATAAAAGACTTCTTAAGGATTTACATTTTGCTATTGAAGTATGCTGTCAACTGGATTGGCAAGATTTTTTAAAAAAGATTGCATAATTTGATCATGTATGGGGTTAGGCAGACACATTTTGGAATCCAGAAAGTGATGGCTTGGTCTTGATCTTTTTGGATAGTCCCTAAGCTTTGGTCTGAATGTATAAACTGATTTTTTAGAGATTCTGATATTCCTGATGTCACTGGCCTTGGACAATGTTTTTAACTTTTCTGAGCCTCAGTTTCTTTATCT